ACACACACACACACACACACACACTCTCACTCTCACTCTCACACACACTCACACACACTTACACACTCACACACACACACACAGTGTACATTCTGCCACGAGTGGATGTTCTTGCGTGTATTTAAATGGGCTTATTGAAATATGTTATATGAACATCCTTAAATCCATATAAGAAATCAACCTTTATCATTTGATACTTGATTATAATTGTCTTGTTTGTCATGATTGCAAATGTAGTTAATGATCAGATTTGTTTCATGTGATTTTACCCAATTTATGTTTCTAATGATCTTAAAAACTCTTAATTCACATTTCTGAAGTTTTTTTTTTTTTTTTAAATGTCAATTGTGTGTATATTAATTTCTTTACAAATATATGCACAATATAATATTTTTTATTATTATTTATTTTTAAATGTATGAGTTGGAGCAGATAGTGAAGTAAAAGCATCAACCTGTACTGGACACATGTTCCTCTTTCAAAACTCTTTAAAAATAGCAAATAACATCTGAGTTTTCAAAATATGACATTAGAAGTTAAAATTAGTCATTTATTTTTAGTTAAGTCTGACTTTCACAAGATTTTACTTTTTCTTGTTCGCTTCCTCGTGTTAGTATAGTAATACTTATCATACTGGTTTTGAATGTATATAAACCAGTTTGACCATTTATGATGAGAATCTGTATCATTTACTTTTACTTTAGTGCCGTGGGTTTGTGCAAATTTCTTGTTGCTTTAAACACACTCAAGCAAAAACGTACATAGAATATACAAAGCAACTCATCATTACAGCTGTTACTTAAGATCTTGAGATATGTTCTCTGTGCTTTTAATTACAGTTAATGAAGGCGTTGTTCATCACAAATGAATCTCCACCTCACCTTTGTCACTGATCCAGCCGGTTATTATTGTACGTCCTAATGACTGAACGACAATCCAACGGCATCACATACCTGTCACACGCTAGGATTAACACCAGCTTGATTTATCAGTTTTAGCAATGGAGGAATGTTTTAAAAACAACTCTGGCAACCACATAGCAACACCTTGACAACCACAAATTAAAAATGTAGTTCTTTTTTAAACACTACTTGAGTGTCAGTGAGAAATGTATGATAATTCCTGTTCCTTCCACAATGCTAGGGTGTTCTGGGTGGTTGATAGGGTGTTTTAAATGGTTGCTAGGGTTTTTTTGGTGGTTGCTAGGTTGTTGCAGGTGTTTGCTAGGGTGTTCTAGGTAGTTGTTAGGGAGTATGGGTAGTTGCTAGGGTTGTTTTAGTGGTTGTTAGGTTGTTCTAGGTGGTTGTTAGGGTGTTCAAGGTAGTTGTTAGGCTGTTGGGTGGTTGTTAGCAGTTTTTCTGTGGCTGTTATGGTGTTCTAGGTGGTTACTAGGGTGTTGCGAGCAGTTGTTATGGTGTTCTGGGTAGTTGTAAGGGTGTTGCTAGCATTTTTCTGTGGTTGTTAGGGAGTTCTAGGTGGTTGCTAGGGTGTTTGGGTAGTTAGGGTTTTTGTGTGTTGCTAGGATTTTGGGGGGTTGCTAGGGAGTTCGGGTGGTTGCTAGAGTGTTTTGCTAGGGTGTTCTAGGTAGTTGTTAGGGAGTATGGGTAGTTGCTAGGGTTGTTTTAGTGGTTGTTAGGTTGTTCTAGGTGGTTGTTAGGGTGTTAAAGGTAGTTGTTAGGCTGTTGGGTGGTTGTTAGCAGTTTTTCTGTGGCTGTTATGGTGTTCTAGGTGGTTACTAGGGTGTTGCGAGCAGTTGTTATGGTGTTCTGGGTAGTTGTAAGGGTGTTGCTAGGATTTTTCTGTGGTTGTTAGGGAGTTCTAGGTGGTTGCTAGGGTGTTTGGGTAGTTAGGGTTTTTGTGTGTTTGCTAGGATTTTGGGGGGTTGCTAGGGAGTTCGGGTGGTTGCTAGAGTGTTGTGGGTGTTTGCTAGGGTTGTTTGGGTGGTTGCTAGTGTGTTCTGGGTAGTTGCTAGGATTTTTGGGTGGTTGTTACAGTGATGGTTGTGGTTGCTAGGGTTTTTGGGTAGTTGTTAGGGTGATGTGGGTGGTTGCTATGATTTTGGGTGGTAGTTAGGGTTTTTGTATGGCTGTTAGGGTGGTCTATATAGTTGCTAGGGTGTTCCGGGTGGTTGCTAGGGAGGTTAAGTAGTTGCTAGGGTTTTGGGTGGTCGTTAGGGGTTTCTGTGTGGTTTCTAGGGTTGTTTGGGTGGTTGCTAGGGTGTTGGGTGGTTGCTAGGGAGTATGGTTGGTTGCTAGTGTTTTTGGGTGGTTCTTAGGGTGTTGTTAGGTGATTGCTAGAGTGTTGTGGGTGGTTGCTAGGGAATACGGGTGATTGCTAGTGTTTTGTGTGGTTGTTAGGATGTTGTGGGTAGTTGCTAGGTTTTGTGGGTGGTTGCTAGGGTGTTCTGAGTAGTCGTTATAGTGTTGGGTGGTTGCTACAGTTTTGAATGGTTGTTAGGGTGTTCTAGGTACTTGCTAGGGTGTTGGGTGGTTGCTAGGGAGTACAGGTTGTTGCTAGGGTTTTTGGGTGGAGGTTTGGGTGATGTGAGTGGTTGCTAGGGTTTTCTGGGTAGTCGTTACGGTGTTGGGTGGTTGCTAAGGTTTTTTGGGTGTCTGTTAGGGTGTTCTAGGTGGTTGCTTTGGTGTTGTGGGTGGTTTGTGAGTGGTTGCTAGGGTGTTTTGGATTGTTTCTAGGGTGGTCTGGGTAGCTGCTATGTGATTACTAGTTAAAAGGACCCAACTCAACCAATTATTGTTCATCGACTTTGGTCAAATCCCCAGGTCGAAGTCTGAGTTATAATAACGTTCAGATTTATGGTGACAGCGGTCCAGCGTGGGAGGCTCCGGTCCAGACCCACATCCGTTTGTCAGATGACGGTCTAAAGAAGGTCCTGACTCTCCCCCCACCGTCCCATTTGTGCCGTATTTTCAACAGTTTGCTGTTTTGTTTGAAAAGCAGCTCGACGCTTATTGCTATTAAAACAAACCTGCTTCATATATGTCAACAGGCCCTCGCTCTCACTCCCGCTCTCCCTCCTCGAAGATTTGACCTCTGTTGCCTGTCACTACCATTTAATTTGTCAAAGTCAACTCCAAGTTCACTAGGAGTAGGGTGTTCACTAGGGGTGTGCGATATTGATAAAATAAGCCTGTCAGGGATAAATAATGACACTAAAACCGCCAGTAGGTGGCGGCAAGTCCCTGTCTTAATGAGTGATTCATTGAATCATTCATTCAAACAATTAGTTCAAAACAGCTAATTAATTTAGAAACAAATCAAGTATGAATGGATCTTTAAATAACTGACTCAACTGATTTGTTCAAAAACAGATTCATTCAGGAATGAAACACGACAGTGTTGCTCTGAGATGCACAATTGTCCTGCTCCACCTTTGTTTGGATCTGTTTTCTTTGGCGAAACAGAAAAACAGACAATACATTATGTCTAAAATGTAACTCACTCAGTATTAACTTCTTGTTTGTTAAACAGTTGTATAAAATCAATACAACATTTGCGATCGCGCTAACGCTCTGATACCCTGATAGCACACGTACAGCACTTACATACATGTCTTACACTTACACGTACATGTCTATTTGACATGTCTGCAAGACGTATTTTTTAGAGCAATACGTCTATAGGAGGTTTCCTATCAGATGTCAAATAGACGTTTAGAAGATGTCTTTACGATGTTTATGATTTATGATGCATGTAAAACTGACATCTTAAAGACGTCTATGAGATGTTTGTACACAGCAGATGCTTTCCAGATCTAGCGATCTATAACAGACATCTTGCAGACGTACGTGTGCTATCTGGGTATTTGGGAAAACGGCACTCTTGCTTGTGTGATATTACTTCATTATATCATATCAATATAAAAGACAAAAACCCAAACAGAGAGATTGTTTGCTTTCATAACTTGAATTACATGGCCATTTTAACTGCGGCGAATGCATTTGGACGTATTTTTGCAATGTGAGTGACATTCTCCATAGTGTCAGCTTGCACATTGTTAAAACAACAATTACGATATTAATCGTACACTATATTTATCGCACACCCCTACCACAAACA